CAGGATGTTGAGTCAGACTCACACATAGTGTTATTACTGAGGTCTGCAACTGCAGACCCGGAGAAGGAAAAGGGAAAATTTCTTTGTGAGCAGTTAGGAAGGAAATACAGGTGGGTCCCTAGAAGGGTGTTCTTTGGGGGATCTCCACAGTTCAGCTGGTAGTGAGAATGAAGAGAAAAATAAGAATGTTTTTGGCATGCTTTTCCAGAATATATTGTATGTTTTTGTTGGTCCTTTTTTTTTTTTTTCTTTTCCTAGTGGGATCAAATTAAAATCTCTATTGGATTTTCCTGTTAGTGGGATAATTACACTTGAGTATGGTAGCAAGATAAAAGTATTATGTGTTAGTCACTAACGTGCTGGTATATTTTCTGATAATATTTCAGCATTCAATTGACTTGTGCATTATGCTTAATTGTTTTTAATATAAAGCAACATATACAATATGAGGTAAGAAAAGGTTGGGGAAAAGGCATGATCTCTTTCTCTGTGGCAGTTGGTTCCCACAAGAACTTGTTCTACCAACATTATTGGGGCTTGCAGGTGCAAGGCCCTGTGAACAATAAAGAAAGGTGTGAAAACAAGGGGAAAACACTGCCTCAGCAGCTGTTGTGAAAGAATGGAGAGCTGCAAATAACAGCCCCTCTGTGCTGCTAAGGTTGAAGAGCAGAAGTACCAATGCACAGCACAACAGCCTGCATTCAGTTCCAGGTCAGGCAGATGTGATCTCGTTGTGTCCAATGTCTCATCTGTGCCCTAGCCTTGAGCCATAACCCTGCAATGGAATAGGTCAACATAGCCTTTACATCAAGATATACATGCAAGCCACTATATGCTTGGGTTTTGGGCAGGCTTTTTAAAACACTGTTTATAAAAAGAAAAGGAATACAATCCTTCCCAAATAAATGGACAGAAACTCACATCTCTTCCCTCCCTTCTACGCAGGTACCGGGATTGCGTAGCCCACAGGTAGAGTCACGCTGGCATACGTAAAATATAGCCCAATCAAGCTGGTGAAACAACCCAGATTTTAGAGATGAAGGTCTCTAAACTGGGAGAGAGCTGCTGCTGACCCCATGACTGTTTGCTCCAGCACTGCAGTTGCTATGGCAATTCATATAGACAAAAGCAGTAACCTTTCAGGTTACAACCAGGTAAAAAACTAGGACTTAAAATATACTCAGAAACAAACAGGAAGCTGATATAGCTGCCAAAGGATCGATATACTGTATTCTCTGTGTCTAATACCATTTCACAACCAGGCAGCTGCATTCTGCATGAGCTGCACATTCCCAGTTCCTTTGAACAGTTGCACCACATAGAGCACGTAACAGCAACACTGACTTTGTAAAAAACAAAACAAAACAAAAACTCTTGTAAAGAAACTGGAAAAAGAAAACAAATGTCCAAACGGGCAATGGCTACTTGGATCCTTAAAAATGTAATTTTGATGGTGTCTGAGTCCAGACTCTGTTGGGAAACTAAGAAGAAAATCAAGCAACTGCAAATGACAAACCTTCACGACAGGAGGGAGAAAATCATGCGAGTATGATGGGATCGGGTGAGTTTTAAGATAGCAGGCTGGACCTCATGTTTCCATTTAATTAGTGACTACATCTTGTTCATGCTCCTGAGACGATGGCACCTTAAACTGCATTTAAAATATGCTTCTCGGAAGAAGTGGAATTGGAAAAGACAACAGGGTTGTCAGCAGCTACTTTTATACAAGCACATAATCTTAGTTTTGTCATCTCTAGTAATGAAGCCAGTGATATAAATGAGAGATCTAATGAATGGAGGCCACAGATTTATCACACTATGGCTCTGGTACATTGCTTACAAACATCATTACAAAGTGCAAAATATCACATCAGAAAACAGATAAACGTATCTGAATTTTCTTCTCTAAGTAGGATTTTCAATCCCTGAGTTCTTTTTCCTCATGTATGCACAAAAGGACCCAAATAGGTTACAAAGATGTACTCAGCTCCTTTCCCCACCAAGCAGTTTATAGGTCTTTGAGGCTAACAAAACCAGAAATGCTGCAACAGCAGAACTGTGGCACGACATCTTTATAGGGCACTATCAAGCCAGAAAAGTTGACTGACAGCAAAGCTGCAATGTGAAATCAACAGTGATCTGTCAGCTTTCACCAACTGTCATAGCGGGATTCTCCTTGACTGTATCAAGAGCTTGACCAAGCCATTGTTGTTAACTTTGAAGAGTGTCATTGCAGGGGAGAAGTGCCTGCATCTCCTGTCAGATCCCCTTTGCAAAGCAGTGTACTGACACAACTCAGTACTACTGTAACGTTTCATTTCCTCGCCCTGCCTTCACATCTTCCTTCTCACAGAGTTCCAGAAATACCAAATAAATCAAAGGTATAAGAATTTATGGAACCCAAAGCAGCACTGATTTTTGGAATGACTTCGTGATTGTATATGGGTACTAATAAAAGGCAAAGGTTCCCCGAAGCTGCAGGCTATAAAGTGTAGTGGAGCAATATGATTAAGACAGAGTTAAGCTGTATTAAACTTTGATGTAAAAGACACTCCATAGTGACATGTTAATAGATCCCAGGAAAGATTTGTTAACGGACTAAAAATTGAGAAGCTATTTGTAGGCAGTATTTAGGACAAAGAAAATCATTATTTCTTTACAGTTGAGCTTCGCTTATGAATAAGCAGGACAAGGCAAGAATGACGGGTACAGGCAGGGATGCTTGGCTCGGGCGTTCAGCCGGGGCTGCACTGCATTCTACCACCTTGCCTGCTGAGCGCCAAGGGCTGGCACTGGGCACTCCTGGCCTAGCCTGAGACTATGCTGCTGAGAGACAAAGACCCTTGGTATGTCCCCTTAAGGACTTTACAGCTGGACAAGAAGGGCATGTGGCATACCGAATTTGGACACTGACCTCCGCTGAAGAGAGAGAAATTTTACTCACTTGAATTTCTTGTTGTGGGTCTACAAAGGTGGTTTGGCATGTGATGATTTCCTGAAAACTCTGAACCACAGAGTTTCACAGTGTGTTTCCAAGTTAGGACTTCTTTGCAATTAAAAGACACTGAAGTAGGGCAACACTAAATATGAAATGTCTTCAAGGTCTGATCTTTGTAAGGACACGGAGTCCAGCAAATGAATTTTGTCTGGCTGGTATGAGATACTAAAAATTACCCTTATTGCCACCTGAAAGCATTTGTGATAGGGAAGAAATTGGTACTAAAAAGTGCACCTTGGCCTAGCATAATTCCTTTCCAAGCTGACATACTGGCAGCAACAAAAATAACCATCACCTGGAGCGTGCTGCCTCTGAAAGGCAGAAACCACCAGAACAAAGAACACTGTCTCCTCTTGATCACGAAAGGCTTATTTATTCTTGCTGCATTATTATAAAAGATATCATATATTTTGTAACATGCCGAAAGCCGTGGGGGGCTTTTCCTTGTTCCATCCTATATCTCTGGCTCAACTTTATTTTTCAAATCAGACATTTTCAGTTTCTCTCAATATTAAATAAAAACTCAGCAGAAGAAAAATAAATCAAGCACCTTCAAATTAGTTCATCATCTCCTCTGCGAGTGGTCAGCATTGCATCAGCTGTCAAGCATTTCTAAAGCCAGCTTTTATGCCTTGGCACTGAATACCATGAATAAAATGTCTGTGATAATACCAGTGGTAAGAAATTAAAACCTCCTGGATGTTTTCTAGCATCCACATGCAGAGTCCTAGAGCCTGTCAGGCACTGCACCTGGCAAGAAGCTAACAAATACAGAGCCTGGATGAGGCTTTGCTTGTCTGTGGTGAAGCTGGGCTCCTCTCGAGCCCTGGTAGCAAAGTGTTGGAGCCCTGGGAGCCCAAAGCGATGCTGAATCCTCTCAGGTGATTGCAGCAGGTGCCTGACCAGAAGTTCAGAAACAATACTGAGGTAGAAGCAGTTTGTTGTCGCTGAGGCTCAGCAGTCACAGCCTGGAATCAGCAGGGAAAGATGTGCCAGCTCTACAGGGAGAGAAAGCGGGAGAAACTTCCAGAACAGGAGGGCAACGCCACAGGTGTGGGAGTGAGGAGGTGGGCACAGGATAACGAGGCTGCAGCTGTGTGGTGATGTTGTTCAGCTGCGTGTGGAGCTGACTGGGGGTATAACTGAGAGAGGCAAGCTTGCTGGCCTCAGATATGGAAGACCCCAACAGAATGAAGGTGTGTGCTTGGCAAGCTTAAGGTAGGACAGCATTTGTATGGTTTTTCTACTAGTATTCCAGAATGCATACAAGCTGAGTAAGGAAGGCCTCCGGGAAGATGTGGGAGGGGGTGTTTTTGTGTGAAAGTAGGAGTTTGTTGGAATTCCTTTTCTCTCTTCTGTCTTTTTGCAAGTGTGTTAGTAGTCAGCACCTTTAGGAAGAGATCTGTGGGGAGAAAGTTTGTGTCCTAGGAAGGTAAGAACGCGTGTAAGGGAAGCAGATCCTGGATTGGGGGCCATGGGGTATGGCTGCGCGGAGCTCCCTGCTGTGCAGGGACAGGGCTGCAGGCTGTGTGGGCAGCGCTGGGCTGCCGTGCCTATGGAAGTGGCTGTTTTCTGTAGCAGAGTGAGGAAACAGATGTTTTCAGTACAAGAAGAAATGTCCTGTTTAAAAACAAAAAAACAAACAAACAAAAAGTGAGTATATTTCCTTAAGTTATACTGTTGGTTTCTTTTTTACCTTTAATGATTTGAGTGTATGCTATGTGCTTTTATTACAGGAGATGGAACCACCCTAGAGTTCTTTGTTAGAAGCTAGTGGATATGTTTTTAGATAACTTTAATAAGCACCAAGCATTTTCTCTCTTGTTTTCACTGAGGAAGTATTACTTTTCTCCTTGTGGAGGGGGGGGGAGTAATGTAACTTTTTAAATGTATCTGTATAAATTTAATGAGAACTTCCTAAAAATAGCTAGTTCCTGTTGAGCTGTGTATGTCACGGTATTCTGTATTTATCACTTATCTTTATTTTTTTAAAGGTATGATAGAGAGAAAAGCCATTTAGCAAATCAAGAACAAAAATACAATCTATGTTTGAAGAGCTGCAGGGAGCTGGAGGAAAATTGGCTCTTGTGATGAAGCATTATTCAGTCCATCACACATGTGAACTCCAATTTTGCCCCTGAGGTGAAAAAAGTGAACTTGTTTTCCCTTCTATATAACCTTGGACTCTGCAGGATTTTTTTACTGTGTGTTTTTGCTATACCGCTTCACAGGGCCCCTGACACAAGTAATGATTTGGTATATGCAAGCCTAGAGGGACGAATAGATACTTATTTGCAAAGTTAGGCAAGCAATTATAGAAGAAACAGGACGGTGCTGTTATTCCATATTTTGTTCTGGATCTCCTCCATTTTTATGGCTCTTGAAGCCATGTTTAATATATTAGGGAGTCATCGCTGCCTCTGCCTTGCCCCAGCATCACCTGTGTTCCAGGGCTCTCTGTGGTTGGGCTTGCCTCATGCTGCTTAGCATTGCTCTGAAGGTAGAGTGAGTCAGCTGTTAAATTAAAAATTGAAAGACTGAGTTGAGTCCAGTTGTTTGAATGGCTGTATTGCTATAAATCATTAATCAATATATCCCGAGATGCTGGAAAGTGTGCACAGTGGGTCCCTTCTTGGGCGGAACTTCAGCAAATTGTAGTTGCAATGTCCTGGAAGCAATGTGTTCTTCTGGAGGGCATGTAGAGTTAAAGGAGAGGGGGAAATACTGTAACAGCATCTCTTCCTTTCTTTCACGTACAGCTTATTATTACCTTTAGTGTCACTGTGATGCATGAGAGTGACTAAGAGTGATGCTGATTGTGTACTGTAGAGGATGGAGCATGAATTTTCCTCTTTGACTTTCCAGCCCTTCTTTCTGGCACAGAGCAAGATTATTTTCTTGCTTCTTCCTGTTCTTTTTCAGAGCACTCTAAGAATACTAACTGCATTCTTGTTTTACTGCGCTTTGCTGAGCACAGGGCTGCAAAATCCAGTTGGCAACTGTATGGAGATTCATATGGAAAACTATCCTGGCTTTTTCTTCTTAACTCTCTATAGGACCATCCATTTTGTATCTTGAGGTATACATTATATACTTGCATATATTATTATTTAATGTAAAAGATATTGCTGTGCATAGCTCCATAGTTTACACTGATGAGTAAAGACTGTGTAGCTTGAAGACAGAGTAAATCTTGTCAAGGTTTTAGCACTTCCTCCTGTGGAAGGGGGAGTAGGATAAGGTTTAGATAGAAGGAAAAAGAATTTGAACAGTATTCTAAGCGAAAAGAAGAGCCAGGAGGAAATTATATGTATTTCAGACACAGAAAGGAGGAAGAAGCTGGTAAAGAAAATCCTTGTATCAAAGCTGTTAAAATGACATTGTCTTAGAGCAGTGAGACAACTCTGCTTTCTCACATTTCTCTGCATGAGCTAACTTGACCCCAAGCCATTGTTTCCTATGGAAGTGGAATAACTTGATAGGCAGTGTGAGGCAGAATTATTTGAAGTCTTTCAGCATTGCTTCCTCTATCCAAAAAACAAACACAGACATCAGCATGTAAACAGGATGCTCAGCTGTAAACTAGAGCAAGATGTAGCTTGTTCTACATTCAGCTCTTCCAGAAATAATTCTGCTTTAGTAAATAAGGCTTTCTGTATGTGTATCCTACTTTAACACATTTCAGATTGCTGTCAACAAACTGTAAGATTTTAGTGGAAGGTGTTTGTTAAATAACAAGTAAGGCAAACTGGATTTTCGAAGTCAGACCTTCTCTATTTTTGTTGTTAGACTTCTGTATGGAATATGTCTTTTCTGTATTTGGGTAAATGCTGCCAGGGATTTACTGCTCTATTTTCAAATGTGGCAGTTCTTATAGTCTTACTGTTGAGATGCTGGGATAAAAAAGAGATGATTATAACAGTTCTTGCGTTGCGTTACTGCTGTAGTTAGTTTAAAATATTTTTTTTTGGGGGGGTGGCTGTCTTGCTGGGAAAAAACAAAACCACCCCAAACCCTGACCTATTTGTTTTTTTGACAGTACTGCTGCAGTTTCTCTTGGAAGTCATAATTTGGACATGCAGAACTGCATCTCATAAAATAAAACCATAGCTCCCAGGATATGCTGCAGTGTCTGCATACAGGGGAACTGTGATTCACTTGGCTTTATGGAGGACCTGGCAGCAGCCTCCCAGTGCCTTTGTGGAGGTTACTGAACAGGCAGAGCCAGGCTTCTTACAGGCAGCACATGGCAGAAGGTTGAGAAGCAATGGCTGTAAGGGGAAGATGTTCTCCTCATTAGTCTGGTTGAGTAAGAGTATGGCCAGAGAGGTTGTACAAGCTTCATCTGTGGAGACTATCAAACACCAACTGGGTGAAGCTCTGAGCAGCGTGGTCTGACCCCTGCTTGGAGCAGGAGATGGACTGCACACTTCCCAGTCCTTTCCAGCCCTTATCATGTTGTGATGCAGGGAACAGGGAGCCCAGGCCGAAGCTAAATATGAAATACCCTAATTTCGGTTCCAAGGAGATAAGATGCTTTTAGTATATTTTTAAATTAGCGTTTCTACATTAAACATTGTATTTTAAAATTCTTCTTGACTTACACCCTCCTTCCTTCACTTACTGTAAGGCAGACAGAAGTTTAGGATCATGATCTAATAGCTTTTATCCAAAATTCATGCATCTGTGCAAATATCCTTTTGACTCATAAGGGTAGAGCAGCAGGAATAGGAAACTGTAGCCCAGGAGCCTGGGGAATGTTTTCATTTGAGCTTCCAGTGAAGAAGCTGCTCTTAGCAGTATGTAGATAGGAGGAATGTGGTAGGCATGAGACAATGTGGCTACTTTCTGCGTTCTTAAAAATCAGATCTAGTTTATGTAGTCTACTAAAAGTATTTCCCAAGTTTTATTGTCAATACGCTGTGGGTAAGTCAGTCAGACTTTCTCTTCCTAACGCTTACTGTCAAGAACAAGTTGTAAACCATGTTTATTTTTAACCTCTCCATTTATAGTGTATATTGTAATATGCATAACCTCTGCCATAGGTGTACCATGTCTGGTCTCAGCAGTGAATGATGTTGATTGGAAGGTGAACTGAAAGAGTGTAAGGCAAGCTGGAAATAGAAGGTCAAGTGTTAATTGGAAAGGAAGGGCAGCAGCTTGTGATCTACCCGGCATCTCCCTCTGTGTTAATGCTAGAGTTATAAAACAGCCGATTGTCCCTGTTTGTCTCTAAACTGACTCAATCTTTAGGTAGAAAAGTGTGAGGAGGTAAAAATCAACAGGCTATGAAGCCTTGTTTCTTTGTTTTTTCAGGCATGTGCACATATCACTGCTAACAGTGTGTTTAAGAGCTTGTAAGCACTTGGCCTCAGCACAGCTGGTTATAGTGAGACCAGACAAAGAGGCTCTTCGACTGATATTGATTTACCCTGGTTGGTGTCTTGGTGTAATTTGCACCTTGTCTGTACTAATAACATCTGAAGAGCGTTGACTTGCTGATTCTAGAAATGCAAGTGTTGCGTTTGCCCCTATAGCAGAGATCTCATGATTTAAAATATTCATTGGATGGTGGTTGGTGGAAGCCACACTTTAAAAGGCTTAATTCATGCTGCAGTTCATTTTAATGCAGGGGGTGACTTTAGAGCAGAAAGTGTTTGAGGATGAAAATGTTTGTCCAAGGATGTTTCTCTTTCAAGTTTCTGAAGAACAAGAAGAGGGGTGCCTAAAGCAGCAGGGTGATCACTGCTGATGTGACTCTACTTTAAGTGATGACCATCACAAATGATGATGCTTTGAGCACAGGATAGTCCACTTGAAGCAGTTGGGCAGTCTGTAGAATGGCTTTGGCCCCTTGCCCTCTTCATCTTAAGGCTCATACTTCTGGCTGCTGAAGAATGTTATACCAGTAGCTAAAAATTGGGTAAGTCAGCCTTCTCACCTTGGCATTGTGTTCTTTTCTGTTCTTGCTAAGGACATTCCTTGTTTCTCTGTTTATTATTAAAAGCAAATCTCATTTGTCCAAACAAAACAAAACAAAACACCCATGAAACAATAAAATCTAATAAGTTTGAGACCATACAGTAACAGGCAAAGACTAGAACAAGTTTTTATCAATCTCTTAAAGACTAGTATATAACTTCCCTTATCTTTGCTCAGTTTATAACCATTACGCATTCCTAGAGGCTAAGAAACAATATAAAAACTTAATCTGAGTTAATTAGTGTTCTGTTAGAGGATAAGTGTTGCTAACAGATTAGTACCAGTGATATCCCTGCTAGTGATAACTTTGAGAAACTGCTTCCCATGCCCCAGACTCTGCTGGGTTGCAGAGTAATGGTATGTATGTATGAGTCTGTAATGGTTGCAGTTCTGCGTGAAAGGCAAGGTCGAACCAACTGCTTGAGTCCTACTGTGTCATCTGAATTCTGTGTACTATTTACAAGGGCATGAAGCTGTTTAGACATACAGAGCGTATTGTTCTAAAACACTTAATGCGTAGAAGAAATTGGGTGTAGTCTGCCATTCTGAAAACATAATAACAAAATGCGTGTTAATTTTATATTTTTCTTTATAGGCAACAACTCTTAGTCTGTTGCACAGTCAGCTTTTTGGCATACCATAAAGTTGGGCTTTCTGATGGAGTTATAAATATTCGTAGCTTCAAGCTGGCTGCTGAAATTATTCTGCTAAATCTTATTTTAAAATAAGTATAGCTGCTTCTTCCCTAACTCTCCTCTAATGACTTTGTTGGTCTTCTAAAGTGATTAGACCTCCTTATCTCAGCTAGGGATGCTGCTAAACGAAGTTCAAATACCTATCTTGCTGGGATTATCCTTTAGGCACTATTTAAATGACCCACCAGCAAATATATCTGCTTTAATGTGACATTTGTTGTCCTTGCTGCCTTCTCATACTAGTTCTGTCAGACATTCTATTTTTTTTAACTACTGAAATGAGTCTTTTCATTTCTAGAAATGGCAACCTTGTTGATAAGCCACTCCTTATCTTTGACTGATGAACTCTAATTTCTATTATGCTTTGAAAGCCTTTTTATTTTTCCTTTGAAGTATCCATTTATCATTGCCTCATGCCTAAAAAACCGGACCATTCAGAGTGGGATTGTCTTGCTCCACGCCCTGGTGCTTGGTATGAATGTGTAACAAGCAATCTATATGATGGCATCTGCAGGCTGCTAAGGTCATTTGTTCTACTTAAGTTACTGTTTTTGCACACTGCGTGTTATGTTTTGCTTAAAAGCTAATTTAATCACCCTTAGATTTCAAAGCTTTGGCCACAGGGAGAGAAACTGTTAATATCCCAAGATAACACCAACTGAAATGAGAATCAATGAAAGCACTAAACCACCCTTTCTGCCATCTGATAAGAGGCACTGAAGCAGTGCTACCTCTCTCAGATCTATTCCGGATCCCTTCTGCTTCCCAGTATTTCCATTCTTTTTCTAATTTCATTCAGTCTAGTGTAGACCTAGTTTATGGTCTTTGCTCAGTACTTCACCCTTTATCCAGCATTTAACAAAAAAGCCAAGCAAGATTTTTCTCATGAAACTGCTGTGTGTTTCTCTTTACCGATCTCAGCTATGGATTTGTTTATCCTGATTAGAATTAAAGCCTGTGCACTGCCGGAACTAGTGCGAAGAGATCAAGTGGGATTCCAAGTCATGTGTTTTCATTTAAATTGCAATCACAGAAGTGTGCTGGAAATTAAAAGGCTTAATAACATATTCTTTTCTCTGGTCTGCATTAGGACATGTAAATCGGGTACAGGCTGTGCTTTCAAGAAAGCCTAAGCTCTAGACAAACAGCCCTCCTCCTCCTTACCCCCAATTTATCCGCTTTAATCTGGATTTTTTTTTTTATTGGTATGACTTTTAGCTATATTCAATAAATGGAGAGCAATAATAGAAGCTGGTATGATCTTGATGAAATGTTGTTATTGTCTTAGGTTTGCAGTTGTTCTTTCAGTCATCATAATATTTGCTTCCTTTGTTAGAGTTTGCTTGGGCATATGCCTGGAAAACAGTTAAGAAATCTCAGCTACCAAATAGTAGAACAAACATTATTGCAAGGACTTTTGTGCTTGCTCATGTAAATGTTTCTCCTGCTAGACTGTAACTGTGATAGAGTATTAGCAGACATACTCCAGCCTACGTCAATCACCTAAAGCTGCCTTTGAAATCAGGTGGCTTGCTACAGTCTTTCATTCTTGTGTTCTATACAGTCCTCTGATGTCAATGCAAATAAATTAATATGTGGGGATTCTTTTATTTTATTTTATTTTTTTTTTTTAAGCTATCAGTGGGTTCACCTTGATCACTAAACTGGGCACAGATTTAAAAGGTTTCATAATGAATGCTCATAGCCTGGTCTGCTATGGGTACAGCCCCAGTGATGGGGGCTGAAAAGATCACAGAAACAGCATAGAGGGTACAAAAACCAGGTATCCTCCTCAATTTTTAAGTACTTGGGTCTGATTTATGACAGGCTCATAATTAGGGTTATGAGGAGTAAGGAGCGTGCAAGCTTCTGCAGTGTGATTTGGAGGAGGTGCAAGGAAGAAACTTGAGTCCAACGTGATGGTCTCTCCACGCAGCAGACAATGCTTGTCTGTAAAAGCTACAAGGTCTTGGAATGAGAATGTGTTGACCTGTTATGTTCACTTGGTTCTGTAGAGAAAGCAAATTATATGTACATATGTATCTACCACATGGCTTGTGCTCAGAGCGGTATGGACAAGCTCTGCTCCTATCCGTAGGAGGACTAATGGTTCGAGTTACTGTTTCCCAACAGTTTCACCCAGGTCTGAGTCTATAGGTTTATTGCTATGGTTAGAATAGAGTTTTGCTCTCCTATGTTTTTGCAAATGATATTTGATTCTTCACACCAGTCCTCTGGTGAGTTAAAAATGTCCTTGATTCTGTTGATTTAGGTAAAAACTGGAACATCGTTTTATCAGGGTTTTTTATTTTAATTAGCAAGCTTTAGAGAGGATTAACATAATAAGTGTAACCCCTACTTGTGTGTACCCGGTATTGTGTAACAGGGAGTTTGTGCCAAACA